GGCGCCGTGGTTTGTCCAATGGACGTGTACTGCTGTGAGGGGTGGAGATGCAAGTCAGTATCATTATCCGCGCGGGATTAGTCATAGCAACCATCATATTTGCGCCTGCAGGAATTTTTGAAGAGTGGGGATAAGCAGATTTTCTCAAAGGAGAATCCTAAAAAGCCCCAAAATTATACAACGAAGCAAGCCTAATATGCAAGTTTTAATCGTATTAGCCTGTTTGACCGACTTGGTCCATAGATTATTACTTCCTAGTGATAGGTTCAAATTGGATTCATGTTAGGGCTGAAGCATTTGCCGCCATTTTTATAAACGTATTTGATCGGAAATATTCGAAAACCATCGATCCCATGTAAAAAAGTGATAGAACCAATGTTGTAGAAAATCAATTCTTTATCATTTTGCTTCTATAAAAATTTGCCGTATAGTCAACAGCTTATAAGAAATTTAAGGGTATCTGTAGTAGTTTCGCTTCCTTCTTACTCCTCGTACGTTTTTTGGCAGCTTGATTGTTCTTGAAGCTTAAATATGTATCAAAAATCGCTCGGCATACTCTTTACGCTATGTATGTACGTTGTCTACGTTTCAGCATAGGAGTACGAAATGCGAGAAATAGTACTTTGACATCTATCCCCTACTGAGTGGGGCCGTGGCAAATGCTTGTTCCGGAAGTTGTTGTATCCAGTATACAACTTCTTCCCGTTTAAGTGATTGTCCACGCGTTACCGATTGCCGGGTGGCGGTACAAGTCCGCCAACGGGCCACTTTAGGTCTATTTAACATCACTAATACGTAAAAAGAAGGTGGTAGACAAGGACCAGTCGACCGAGGCAGTACCACCCGCTAGCTTTTCCCAGGGTGTCTTATAAATGTCCGCATGTTTCCACACCTATGCTATGCAGTCGGTTATCCTCCAAAACAAACAAATTAATGATGATGGATCCCTCGAGCACTAAGAACTCCGGACGTAAACTCACTCCACTCTCGGAATGTCCGGGTGGAGGGTGGGCTCGAGGGAACAACATCGAAGATAAAATTTGTTTTTCGAACATTGATGCTGTTCATCACTACCTGCAATCCAATCGTCCCGCCGTGCTTTTCCTGGCGAAGACAAAAATCTCAGAGTCTGCACTGATGAACCATCTTAACTTCCCAAACTATGAGGTGCACTCCAATCTGAAAAAGCACAGGGGAGTTGTGGGTTTTGTCCGCAGCAGTCTTTCCTGCTCCAGAGATGTTTCTTTCAAATCAGACCGGAAGGACATTCTGTGGCTTCGCCTCAACTCCAAAACATCACCCAAGTTCATTTGCTGCCTTTATCGCTCTCCCTCGGACCATAACTGGGATGACCTAATCGAATACCTCGCCGTCCAGATCGACTTCCTGAACATCAATCATCCCGCTTGAGGTAGTTCTTCTCGGTGATTTCAATGCCCATAACGAGCTTTGGTTGGGCTCAAACAAGACCGAAGCAGCAGGTCGTGCAGTCTAAGCGTTCGCTCTTACCCAAGGGCTGACTCAGCTGGTGACGAGTCCTACTTTTTTTCCCCCGCGTCTCGTCACACGCCAGTAGCCTGCTGGATCTCTTTCTGACCACGCATCCTGCCCCTTACAGCACAGCTGTCCTGTCCCCCCTGGGTAACTCAGACCACGGTGTTGTGGGGGCTAGGTTTCGGTCAGAACCCGCTGTGGCAGCAGAAACTCGTACAGGCCGCAAAACTTGGCATTACGGACATGCCGACTGGAAGGGGCTCAGAGAGTTCTTCTCTAGCTTTCCTTGGAAAGATGTCTGTTTCACTGACGCGGATGCGTCGGCTGTCTGTTCTTCGATAACTGAAATTATCCACGTCGGAATGGAGGAATACATCGCTCACACAGTGAAAGTGCCTAGACCAGGGTCCAACCGCTGTTTTAACAACTCGTGTGACGCTGCTCGCCAGCAGAAGATCAAGGCACACATAACCTTCTTACAAAACCCCACTATAGAGAACAGACAAGCCGACGTTGAGTCCAGAAACAAATTTAAAGCAGCGGTTCGCAATGCCAAAAACCAGCATGATATAAAAGTTAGGCACAGGGTAATGTCGCAGCGCAATGGCAGTCGGTCTTTCTGGACGCTAGCCAAGCAGATTGAAAAGAACTTCTCACACAGTAGCCTTCCACCATTAACGTGTCAGGATGGAACTATTGTATTCAACTCAAAGGCCAAGGCGGAAGTGCTAGCCAAGTTCTTTGCTGCCAACTCCACCATCGACGTCCCCCCCAACGCCCAAGTGCCGTCAATTCAAAGGGTTCTCTACACTATGCGGGAGGTAACATTCAGGCATAAGACCGTAAGACGAGTGCTCTTGTCGCTCGATATCAACAAAGCTTCTGGTCCGGACTTGATTCTTGCCATTGTACTGAAGAGGTGTGCACCGGAGCTTGCTCCAGTTCTTTCGCGTCTCTTCCAGATATCTTATGAATCCGGCACCTTCCCAGAAAACTGGAAATTTGCGCATGTCCAACCCATCCCAAAAAAGGGATCTAAGACCGACCTTTACAACTACAGGCCTATAGCTCTGCTTTCTGTTTTAAGTAAGGTGATGGAGAGGTACATAAATGGCGAGCTTCTGGACTACCTCGAACTTCACGGCTTGATTAGCGACAGGCAGTATGGTTTCCGGGGACCTCCTAGCTTATGTTACTCAATTGTGCAGTAAACTCATCCAGTCTTATGGTGAGGCTCATGTCGTTGCTCTTGGCATCACGAAAGCGTTCGATCAGCTGTGGCACGCTGCCCCCTTAAGCATACTTCCATCCTATCGCCTTCCAGAAAAGCTTTGCAGATGGGTAGCTAAATTTATCTCTAGCCGCAAGATATCCGTCGTAATTGACGGGTTCTCCTCTTCATCCCACAACGTCAACGCGGGTGTTCCCCAGGGATCGGTCTTGGCTCCGACACTGTTTCTCTTACATATCAACGACCTCCTTTCTTGCACGATCAACCCAATCCACAGCTTCGGTGATGACAGCACTCTACATGCAGCAATTCAGAGTGACAAGTCGATCTCTGCCGTTGAGTTGGAAAAAAGAAGACTAGCGATGACTTCCTCTCTGACAAGAGATCTGGAGGCTATCACTGCTTGGGGACGCAACAATCTTGTACAGTTCAATGCTTCCAAAACGCAGTACTTTACTTTGACGAACAAAAAGCGTCCCTGCGCTCACCCGGTTTCGATGGATGGTCGAGTTCTGCCAAAGAGCCATTCATTTCGGCTGGTCGGAGTCCAGATCACCGAGGACGTGATCTGGCACGAACACATCTCGTCAATAGCTGCAGCTGCTGGAAAAAAGCTAGGCTGTTTGTTTAGGGCTAAGAAGTACTTTTCTCCGCATGGCCTTCTCACTCTATACAAAGCCCAGATAAGGCCTAGCCTCGAGTATTGCTCGCACGTTTGGCTCTTTTCTACCGTTACACCAACGGGCTTTGCTCCTCAGAGCTCTCTTCCATGATGCTGTCGCGCGATGTGCCTGCCAGACAGACCTGCCTAACTTTGGCGTCCCATCCTAACCGTGTCGAACTTCGTACATCCAGAACCGGGCGATACGACCGCTCCTTTGTCCCGAGGGTGTCGAGATTGTGGAACAATCTACAAGAGGAAGCTTTTCCCAGTTATATTAACCTTAGGCAGTTTTCCTAAGACTGCATTGTCTGGCCGCTAAATCAAACTACATACATATGTTATAATCACTGTCTACTGTACGACGGTAGCCTTTTTCAAATACAGTGGCAAGTTTCAAGTGTTACATTGTGTCTTTCCTTTGTCGATATTTGAATGAATGTGTGTTTATGGATCAATCAAGAAACATTGCCTACTTAAAAGCTAATATTAGTAACGGAATTACAGTCATAAAACCCGAAATCTCGCGAAGAGTAAGAGAAAACGCCATGTAAGAACAAGAGTGTGGAAAGCAGAATGTATAGGATACTAGAAATGTATACACATATTCAACAAAAATGTTACAGCAATGTAAAAGTCCAGTACTAGAAATCATTATAATTGAATGTAACTTGAAATATAGTTTACTCTTCATCAGAGTCATATTTTTCAAGTCGTTTGGTAGAGGTATAAGGACATATAAATGTGAAAAATCTTATAAGGTCTTGTGTTGAGGCATAGTGAATATTTCTGGAAAACGAATAATTGAGGTGGAGGAATGAATTTTCTGTACAAGTATAAAGGTTTCTTTTTGAGCATTGTTTTATGTACAATTGTAAGCAATAAATATTTGAACAAGTCTTTAACACTTAAAGCCAGTTCATAGCAATGATATGTCCTAATGTGTGATCATATCTTGTTTATCGGACGGAAACTGAACTTTTGATTTCCTCCAAACGTTTTGCTGTATATTGGTCTAGACAGAGATAATATATAGGCATACAATAAAATTTTTGGAAATAACTATTCTTTAACATAAAATGTTTTTGAAAAACTTCGTCAAAACGTTTGTTGGCATACCGGAGCCTTAAGGTTAAATTGAATATCAGTTTTTAACTGTTAGAGCGACGTGGTTTTTTACACGGTCGGAAAATTTCTACTGTGATTGATTTATACCAACTTGTATGTCTACCTTCAAACAATTAGATTTTGTTTTTAGGCCGAATAAAATCATTTGGTTTTTCCAGTGTGCAAAATTTAAAAGTATTAAACTTCCTTTGCATAATTGTAGATTACTTCTAGACCCTTGTTTATAAGTAGAGTAGTGATGATGATTATTAGGATGAAATAATAGATACATTTGGGTATTGTCGGTGTAGGTCACTGTTTTACCATTTTGAACAACTGTAGTCTAACTTGAGGTGTATATAATACGATTATACTCATAAGCGAATAAAATTTGATGAATTCAAGTAATTTGGGGCGCAAAATGTTCGCCAAAAAATCGTGAAGTGTTGTGCCGAATTTGAAGTCTAACGTGTCCCGTGGAGTGCCAGTTTCTAATAAAACACGTAGTTGCTACGATATCTCTCTATTTTTAATAAAGATTACACAACATAACCATGCCTTTGTGTGGCGCACTAGAAAAAATCTGCAACCAACTGAAGCAGCAATCACATACGTTCTGTTGTATTGTTACAACTAATTTACCCAACAGTGGATGTAGTAGTACCAAATTTTCATTAAAAAAAAACTAAATGCAGCCTTTCAACTCCTCTGTGCCATGGGAGGCATTATGGGGGGCGGAACACCCCCAGATATCGCTGAATTCGGACCTAACAACATCTGAAAAAAAAAACAGTGTCATAAAAAGTGATAATCCAATTCCACACAAAAAAATTTGCTGTAGTTTCTAAAAATCAGTCAAGTAGCGACGGACATGAAGGCAAAAAACGAAAAAATAAAAATCGACCGAAGTTCGCTTCAAATACTTCTGATCATTTTAAGTAAAATTTTTGTAGAGGTTGAAAAAAGAGGATTGTAAAGGGTGGGGAAGGGTATATCCCAAGTTCTGGCGTTAGTATATTTATAATATATACAAGAAAGATGGTTCCCATTCAATGCAATTATCAAGTCAATTCCTTTGCAGAGAATACATGAGCATAAGGAGCTAGGTGTGATCTTTGACAATTCTCTTAGCTTCAATCAATATATAGCGCAAATCCTTGTAGCTGTTAATAGACCACTGGTATTTGTGGTGCGGGATTCCAAGGAGTTTACTAACAACGAGGTAATGGTCATGCTTTTCAACTCTGTGTTATCTAAATTAGAGTTTGCAAGGATAGAATGGAACCCCTGCTATGTGATCGCGTGCGACTGTTTGGAGAAGGTGCAGCGTAAGTCCTTGAAGTAAATATGTGGCTTAGATAATGTGAACATTACTTTATCTTGCTGAATTCCCACCAGTAATTGGCATACCTGTTGGTATTGTATAAATAAATAAATAATAAAAATTATTCGAGATGAAATGAGATATCCCAGTGACATCTATGAGAATTCATCACAGCTATGTTCACCCTCTGCACAATGATTAGAAATCTACCTTGAAAAGGTCTCATGAATGAATAGCGCTATATGAGTGTATATGGGCAATATTTTGCTTGCTGAGTAGTGTTTAGTGTGAAGGCAAGATTTTTAAGCCTAGAGAACTGCAGCTGGACCTATACTTTTGGTTAGTTGATTGGTTATTTAAGCAATACTTTTTGGAAATATGTAGTGTCAAGGATTTGCAAATACATTAAAACTAAATATTAGTGAGATCATGCAATTAAACCCTACCTCCCATATTTTTCTTGGGATTTTTCTAAGTATAAAGTCTATTCAAACAATCTGTAAACTCTTAATGAGAGATGCATTTCTTTAGTTATTGGTAAAACTAAGCCACATTTCTACAAACACTCAGATTATCCTTTTTGGAGGTAAAACATTGATATTCACCAAAATAAATATTTCTAAAATATCTCTCATTCATGTAGTTACCTGTTTTTGTTGGTTCTTCTGCATTTCTTCCATCTGAGCCTTTTCCACTTCAAATATTACTGGCGCAAAAAGTATGATTGAAGAGCTAAAGACTATCCACATTGCACTCCTGGAAAAGTTGTATGCAAATTTGGCCCCAGCCTGCGTGTTCACCATGGTTGCATATGTGATGTTTCTGACTGGCTCTGGAAACATCTCTGTCAGTCCCCAGAGGCGTTCTGATAAGGTTTCATCTGGCTAAAAAAATATAACATTTTTAATCTCATAAGGATGCATTACAAAATATCATCCATCGGATGTTGACAGATGCAAATTCAAAGTTTCAGTCAGGTGAGAAATTGGCAAGTAGGTGTCTTTAAAAGTGTTCAGAGTCATCAAAAGGTGGATGAGACACAGCCAAGTAGTCACATTAGCATAAAATACAACTTGAATTGCTAATTTTTTCGTCATTATATTTTTGTACTGAAGAATAGGCATAGGTAGAAATCTTAATACTTGTGCACAGGCTAAAAGATGCTTTGTTAATTTTCATCAGGCAGAATGTTCCACATCTCAACACTCTAGGTACAAAGACCCAGTTCTGGATTTCTAAAGGTCAACAGCGTTGGAAAGGAAGGCAGCCTGGTGGGTCCATCTGACTGGCTCAACATCATGGAGGAGATCTCTGAGGAGCAAAGCTCTGTGACATAGCAATGGTGCGAAAGAGTCATGTGACTGTCTAGTTAGACAAGTACAATGATCAGGCAGACGGTCATCCTTTGAACAGCATTGAGTATGGACAAAGTAGTCATGGCAGCAGCACCCTAAACATGTGAGCAGTACTCTAGTCTAGGTCTTATCTGGACCTTGTACAGAGTAAGGAGGTTACTTCTCAGCCCTAAACAACAACAAACATTGCATGAAATAGCTTATTCTTCCTGGTGCTTTGAGAGAATTTCTATGGCCTTGTCACATGGCTGAAATGTGTGATTGTCTGGGAGAAACATGTTTTAAATGGTTCTCCTCGGCAGCTAAAGCTACCAGGATACTATCCATAATAAGATTAATGCATTGCAAGAACCCCTTACATCTCCGAGAGCAGCGATTTGTTAAGTGTAGTTTTATATATGCTGAGGGCATTTCCAAGGACTTCTAATAGTACATGTGTATGCGAAACCAAAAAATTTCATGGACAACTCACGCAATATTTTATAAAAAACTTCATGAAAATCTGATATACATCCATTTCTTTTATCTCACTATTACGATTACGTGAAGGAGTACGTAAGATCTGAGGCTCTTTATCTCTAGAGGCTAGCACCCAGATACTTTGAGGTTAGGTCGATCTGATTACCCCCCAGTCATGCTGTGGACCTTGTAATAAACAAGAATTAAGCAGCATATGTTATTTTTTTACCTCGTCGTCTTCTTCTTCCTCCTCATCCCTCTTTTTTTCCTTCAATTCCATGTCTGTTGTGGTGGTTTCGTCCAAAGACTGCGACCCATCTTGAGATTCCATGCCGCTGTCGTTATCTTCTCCTGGGGCCATGTAAATTTTCGGAGGTTAGGTTGTGTGGATTTAAAATTTATCTCCCGATAATTTTAAATAAATGATATTTACAAAAAACTGTCGTGCCTGTACAAAAAATCAGACCGTAAAGATCGTGTTTAGCCCGCAGGCGCAAAGCGCTATATTCGAATTTATAGTTGATAACGCAATTTCTAGTAAAACGTGTGGATTTTTCGAGGTACATACCTTTATTCAGGACATTCAGGTCTCGTTTTTTTTCTAGAAATTGTCACTAAGAATTAGGTACCTATTTTGTAATGATATTTCCTTTTGAATCTAGGCAATCAAAAACGACAGTGATTGTTTTGCCCTCTATTAAGTATAATATTAATTAGTTGTGCCGCCATCTACTGGACAACAGCTGAAAAAGTCGCTTTTCTATGTGGACTAGGGATCTTTTAACAAGCATATCTTTTATAATTTGATTATTTGATAGTTACCTAAGTATCTAGGGCATAAAGTATATATTTATACGCAGTGTTGCCTTATTGTTAGTAATTACTGGCAGTTGCCAGGAATGAGAGGGGACTTGCCAGGAAAGGATGCTTGCAAGAAATTTGCCAGGAATAACAGTTTTCAATTTCTCAAAATTTTTGTATCCATGACAGTCGCCATATTTATACATTTTCTATTCGCCAGTAGAAGGGTATCCTATAGCCCCTTCCCACTTCAAGATTTGTACCAAAATATGCCTTTATAAGCGATCCGTCAGTGAAGCATACGAGACACTGGGCGGGAATGTTCCCACTTCAGTTGGCCCACTGCAAGATTTGTACCAAAATATGCCTTTATAAACTAAACATGAAACTATTTACTTCTAAAACAATTTATTTTCTCAAAAACATTTTAGATACACTCTAGTCGAAAAAATACATATTTGAAATCACTTAGACCTATAACTAATAGAACATCTGAACAAATAAACAATGTGCGGATAAATGCGCGAAGTTAACAAAGCAACATTTGAAAGATTACCATTAGGTAACATCACCTTGATTTTTTATTACGGCTGAAATTCTTTGGGGCATAGTGTTAACCAAGTTTTAGCAAAAATTTGGTGTAAAAAAATTCCATATTTCTTGAAGCTTTTGTCTCAGTTCGGTGATTGTACGACCAGGATGTTGTCGTAGAACCTTTTTAATCTCGTGACACAAAGTTTCAATATGTGACAGATCTGGACTGCTAGAAACCCATTTCAAAAGTGGTACATTATTTTCTTCCATCCATTTTATAGCTTTTTTTGAGGTATGGCACGCTTCACCATCTTGCTGAAACACAAAATCTTGGCCGGATGTCAAACATTCTTCCATCACTAAAATTGCCAAATATTTGTTTGTATCCACATCAATAAAATTAAGTTTTCCTACTCCTTTTGTTGACATACTGCCCCAGACCATAATGGATGCTGGAAATTTCACTTTTCTCTTCAGACAGTCAAGATGGAATGCTTCATTTTTTTTGCAAATAACTCTACTGCGACTGTCACCATACACAAACTTCGAATCGGGCCTCATCACTCCATTGTATTGAACACCATTGTTGAGGTTCTTTAGCCCATCTAAGCTGAATTTTCTTTTGCAGTGGAGTTTTCTTTTTTTTCTTTGGCCTATAAACAAGTTGTGCAACTTTAGGGTTTTTACTTCACTTTTTTTTTATAAGAAAACTTACCTTGCTAGTGCTAAATCCCATTTTGGAGGTCTCTCTATGAGTTGTGGACCTCGAAATTCTCCTTCCAACAGCGACACTCCATAGAGCACTTAATTGTAAATAATTGGCACGCCTGTTTTTCACGATTATTCTTCTTAATGCTCTTCGGTCGGCATTTGTGATATTACTTTTTTTCACATATCGTGGCTTAATATTAACTGAACCAGTTACGTTATATCTTCTAACAATATTTCTCACACTGTACCGCGATCAGTCTAACAAAGTTGCAATTTCTGAGTTTGATTTCCCAGAATTAAAAAATTTAATTATCAGTAACCGAATTTTCTCACTAATAACCTTTAATCTACCTATTTTGAAAACCTTAACTACTCAAAACTATTTTAAACGTATTCTGACAGCTGTGATTAATAAAAACAATTGAAGACCTCGGGGGAAGAAGGGGATAAGCCACATATTGGCGAACATTAATCCAAATACTGCAGGCACCTTTCCAAACCTATATCCTTGTCTTGACAAAATATTATAAGAATCGGATCATAGAGGGCGCTACAGTTTGCAAACGTTGTTCTTCTCGCGGAAATAATTTTAGGCATTTTACAAGCAATAAGGGGACAAGCCGCATGTATTTTTCAACATGGAGTTGCCACGTGCACATGAAGTGAAGTCAAAACGGTATTATTATGACAGTTCCGATAGTGAAAGTGGTGATGTAATGGATTCAGACGATAGTATTAAAGACAAAGATTATGTGGAAAGTGAAACTAGCAGTGATTCCTCAGAGGTTTCGACAGATGAGGTAAGAAAAACAAAATTGTGGCTTATCTCCTTTTTAACGTATTTTTTGTGGCTTATCTTTAGAAATTTTGTTTTGGTTGTGTCATGTTACAGAATGGAAGTTGTAGGATTTTTGTGAGTTACCATAGTATTGTATAAATTTATTTTTAGAATAGTGCAACGATACGCCTCTGAAATATCAATACATATCGTAAAAAAATAAAAATGGTGGCTAATCCCCTTTTTTCCTTTATAAAATTTTCTGTTTTTTGTGGGCTTATCCCTTTGTTACCAACAAAAATTGAAAATTTTTTGTTACAGGGGGATCCCAACAATAATGATGCAGGAACTGCAACAGATGCCCCACTTACTTCAACAACATCAAGAGGTAGCTTACCCAGTCCAGAAAAATCAAAACCATCTAGATGGAAGAGGCCAAGGAGAGAATGGAGAAAAAAGAAAAAAACAAAATTAGGAGGAATTTGGGTCACAGCTACAAGAATCACAAGGGAATTGAAGTAACAGCTAGAGAGTTAGGACCACCATGTACCTGCAAGAATAAATGCCGGGAAAAGCTAGGAGAAAAGGAATTGGACATCTTCAAGTCATTTTGGGACTTAGGCGATTATGATAAGCAAAACATATATTTATATTCTTGTATGGAAGCAATTCCTAAAAAGCGGTCATATCCAAAGAAAACAAAAAAACAGGTTTCATCCAGACATATTTCAATAGAGTATTTTGTCAAATTAAATGGAGAAAATGTTAGACTGTGCAAAAAAGAATTCTTGTCTGTTCACGGCCTCCAGCACAGTAAAAAAAGAATCGAAATACTTTACAAAAAAATGTCAAATGAAGGTTCAATAACGCCTAAGAAAGACAAACGGGGTAAGCACAAAAATCGTCCAAATAGAACCCCCGCTGAGAATTTACAATCGGCTAGGGACCATATAAATGCTATTCCAAAGTATACCAGTCATTATAGTAGAAAAAAGAACCCAGGAAAAGTGTATATAAACCATGATTTAAATATTTCGAAACTATACAAAGATTACTATATTGACTGGTGCAAGGAGCGAGATCTGGTACATGTGTCGGAAGATAGGTATAGACGTATCTTCTGCACAGAATATAATATCGGGTTTAAGCTGCCGAAAAGTGACACATGTAAAACATGCGACATGCTAAAAATTAAAATTGAAGATCCTGGTGCCACTACAGAAGAAATCAAAAGCGATAAAATAAAATTGGAACTACATCAAAGGAGGGCCGAAGCCATGCAACAAAGTTTGAAAAGAGAAACTGAATATGCAAAAATAAGTGGCGATACTTATGTTATAACATTTGATTTGCAGCAGGCTCTACCTGTCCCAAATTTAACAGTTGGACCAGCTTTCTATTTAAGAAAAGCATGGGTGTATAATTTGGGCATTCATGATTGTGTGACAGGTCAGGGTTACATGTACATGTGGCCAGAAAATGTTGCCAAGAGAGGTAGTGATGAAATTGCCAGCATTTTGTACAAACATTTTCGAGAACACTCGATTAAAGGTAACAAAAAACTAATTGTCTACACCGATAACTGTGGTGGACAAAACAAAAACTGGTCGATCATCTGTTTATGGCAACAGCTGGTAGTTGATGGATGGTTTGATTCAGTTGAGCATCGGTTTTTAGTTGTTGGTCATACTCATCTTCCTTGCGATCGAGATTTTGCTTTGATAGAGAAGTACAAAAAAGGAATGAGACAGGTGTATGAGCCAAACGACTGGTATCAAGCTGTACAAAAAGCGAAGCGAACAAATCCGTTTGTAGTGAATGTTATTAAGCAGGAGGATATAATATCATTCAAAGATCTACTTACTCAGATCCAGAAAAAAAATGTTTTGGATGACAAAGGCAAACTGAATTTTAGCCATGTTAGTCATTTTAAATTTTGTCATGAGGATCCCAATAAAATGTACGTTAAACATGCAATAAATGAGGAATTTAGAAGTGTCACAATAAAAAAAAGAGGCATACGACACAGTATTTCATTACGTTTAAAAGACTTAAAAAGAAAATATTATCAACTGCTTCCTTTAAACAACAAAAAAGTGTCAAATCTTTCCGAACTGCTAAAGTATATCCCACCTATATATATAGATTTTTATCGAGAAATAGGCGCATGTATTGTAGTTACAAACCCAACAACTTCAGAACAAAATGGCGTTGAGGACCTTGATGCTCGCAGTAGTGAAGAAGAGAACGATAATGAAGATGATGAATGAATGTTGAAGACTTTTTTTCACATTTTTACACAATTCCTATTATTTAGAATGAATATCTTTTTTATTTTTGTTTGGTTATTAATTAATATAATAAGTTGTACAGTACTTTTAAATGTTTGTATTTTGTTAGAAAGAAATTGTTTTTAGTGTATTTTGTATCACTATTACTATTTTGACCTAAAAAACTGTTGAGATAAGATTAAGGCAAAAACGAGATTAGCCACATTTTTTTTTAAAAACGTATGAAATAAAAAAGTTTTTAAGTTTATATGTTTTTTCATTATCATTTATAAAAATAGATATATTTATCAATCTGTTGCTGAGTTTCATTAATTTACACAATAGAAAAGTTGATTTCGAGATTTGATTGAATATTTTAAATCCATTTTTCTCAGAACCATATTTTTGGGCATGTCCCCTTCTTCCCCGAGGTCTTCAATTATCATGGCTTTTATTTTTCACAGCCACCTATGCGTTATAGACTTATTTTGCATTGAAATAAAAATAGGTTGATATGCTGTAATTGCAACATGTGTTATTTTTATGCTGCAAATTTGATTGGGGAGTGATAAAGTTGGTGTTTTCTACTATATATTATCAAAATATTCATTTTAAATATTTTAAACCTATAAAACCCTGCAACATTTCTATTTCCTAGCTGGACTAACCACACTGGCCTAAGGAATCGTCAGGTAAGTGTATTATTATTAGTTTTCTTGAATACCATATGAAATAATTATTTCCAGGAAAAGAAGAACGATTTGTCTGTCAAATTGGCAGTGAAGATGGCTTTGTGCCTACTGCCCTATGGGCATTTGAGTCAAAGAAAACGACCGACTACTATGAAGAAATTGACTGGAGTTCATTGAACGATGGTTTGAAGAAACGCTCCCAAATCTTGACGACAATACCGTCATTGGACATGATAATGCTGCATACCACACAAGAAACAATTCCCACAATGTCCACAAGAAAGGCAGAAATTCAACAATGGCTCCTATCAAAAGACATTAGTTTCAATGAAAATATGGTCCAAGCAGAACTTATCCATCTAGTCAGGCAGCCCAAATATAAATATAATCTTAATGTTATTGACAAAATAGCTAAAAACCAAAATAAGACCATTTTAAGGCTACCCCCTTATCACTGCGAATTAAATCCTATTGAAATGATTCGGGCAAATATAAAAAACTATGTGGCTTCAAATATTAGAACATTCAAATTTTCTGACGTGAAAAATTTGTTTTATGAAGCTGTCAACAGAGCGACGGCAAACCATTGGAAATATTGCATCCGTCACGTTCAACAGACAATCGAAACAAATATGTGGGATCTGGACAATATGATCGATATTCAAATTAAACCTGTAATAATCAATATTAACCATTCGGACGATGATTTAAGTATTAAGCGAATTAAGAGCTGTGAAAAGTATATGCACTTCTATAAGAATAATCATTGTGTACTGTACTGTACTCTCTTTTCTCTTACTTTTCTACCATGTTTCCTAATATAGACCTTCTCACGGTTTTTGGCAAGCTATGGGAACTACGAAATCCATTTTCTTCATATAAACCATGCCGGTCTAGTAGCAATTGCTTGTAGTCTATATAATCACAAAAGGAAGTGCATAAATGGTAGAGCAGACGCTCATCGCGTCGATACTCACGCCTTTGTGAGCTCGCACCTTGGACTCTACGTCTTAGACAAGTAACAAATGTATGGATGAGAAATAAAATGCCTTTTTCAGATTACACGAATAACTATTTTTTTCACATTACTGATCATTTGATTATATGTTCTTCAAAGTTTTTTTTTGGGGATTCATGTTTGTTGTTCATTCACAAGATAGAAATTATATAAATAAAACATTAAAATATACTTTTATTATCACTATTTTATTTGTAAAAGATCTTACACATTCTTTCTAACTAAACTACAGTAGATATATGTTATTTTTACACATGTCAAAACCAGAGGTGAGATCACAACAAATGATCGAGTTTAATTCATTTTATAAGTACCTAAATAGATTTCACAAAATATATGAAGCTAAAACTATATGCACACAGGTTTCATACACCAACGGAATAGTTAAAAAAAGAGAGTTATTTTTTCAAGAATGGAAAAAGATAGACAATGAAGACTAATGCTGAAACGTGCTATATTTTTTGCAATTATTGTGAAAACTATAATGATGTCAATGATGATGGTTATGGACAAAAAAATGTTTGTATCATTGTAAAAAATGAGATAACCTGTTTACAGATGCATATATCAGTTATGGTCACAAGGCAAGACAATATTTCATCTTTATGGTTGGAAAACCATAAAGTAGTAAAAAAATAGGGGTTATCAACGTTGTAACACGAAATTTTTACAAACTGTACTCAATTTCCTCACAAAATATCACCTGAGAGTCATATCATATGAAGTAAAAATGGAGTATATGTTTCCCTGTTTTAGAGAAAGCAAGATGAAGTTGCAACCACGTACATAAAAATATTAAAATCCCATGTCATGGTTGGACCCACCCATTCGTAATCCGATGACCATTCCTGCAGCTTAGACGTAACAAATTTTGAGCAACAATGATATGGTAAAAATGATATACATAATAACAGGGAGACTCGTAACAACGCATGATATTATCCACGAAAGGTATACGGAAAATCGTATTTTGTGGTTTGAAGAAATTACAGAATGTTTGTTGCCAAATTGAACAGGGCAGTGTTTAAACCTTTTAGGCCTCCCAAAATTTATTCAATATTTCAGTGCCAAAACAATATTAATTACAATAGATAGGTGCAAGTAATCACTACTGCTGTTTTCATATTATACACGTCGATGTCTCAGAAACTTAATATTATTCACTACGAAAAATACAATCATACATACTTTTGTGCGAACTTTTCGATGGACGTTAATATTAAATCACTCTGAGCTTGTCCTCTAAATCCAATGTTAAACCTCAGCATCGTTTGTCAGTAACAAATGTATTATACAGGGTTCCAAGATAAGGATCCTATGCATGGGGATCTTAATACCTGTGCAAGATACAGCTTAAGTTAAATTAGGAAAAAGTACACATGTCTAATAGCATATTTTTATACGAATTCAATGTGTGTCGCATGTTACATTTATTTTCTTGGGTATAGGGAAAATGCGTTTCTTCTGATTTTTTTAAGTAGGCATTGCAAAAAAAATGCTTGACTTGACGGAAAAACCTGTCACAAAGTATTGTTTTTATTGTGTATTGTTAATATTGCTTTATTATCGTCAAAGTTGCCACCGGGTCATTTTAGCAATGAAGAAAAATTCGACATGCGGACGTGCTACATTTGTTGGCTCGAAATTTAAATGAATGTGGTTCATACAGAAAGCCTGTTACGTATCGAAAAGAGGGATCTTTAGAGGAAACAGTGTTTTACAATCAGTTTCTGAGAAGTCTGATATATCAACCAGGCAAGAGAAAAATGTAGTAGTAGCCCAATCCAGAAGACTGCCTTGATAATTTACCTTTGGCACAGGTTAATAGGTGTTGGTTTCAACAACACGGTGCTACTTCACGTAACTCTAGGCAAGTTCGAAGGTATCTTTCTCAGCGATTTCCCGGAAGGTGGAATGAAATCTCCAATGAAGTGTCCTGGCCAGCGCATCCTGCAGATTTAACTCCTCTGGACTTTGTGTTCGAAGTTTTATTAGAAACCAAGTTTAACAGCATACTTTTCAAACTGATCAGCAGCTACGAGGATGTGTAATGGAAGCAATTGGTATGATTACCCCAGAAATGTTACGCGATGTTTTGAATACTACTGTTAGATCATATTTATGTTTAGAAAATAATGGCAACCTATTTGAAGTAATCTCCTAACATAATTATGTAAGGCGATAGTTAATTAACACAAGTAAAATAGTTTTATTATGATTTGTCGTTCAACGCAACATTCTGTAATTTATCCCAACCGAAAAATGGTAAAACATTCAAAAATTGTCATGATACACAAAGTGGAAAAAAGGCAGTTTGATATGATACATTTTCTAACTTACATATTACACATATTGAAGTGGACTAGCTATGAACCGTTATTTTTTGTTGTTTACTATAAATAATGTAACATTATGACATTATGCTAAAAGTACAAAAAATTATAAAATGCCGTATATTTTAGATCTATATGTAACAACTGGCCGCATACATATTAGTGTATGGATGACTTTAGTTTTCTTTCTGCTATACGTACATATAGTACATAGAAGACATTCATAAGCTATTTTTTATTATTATCGGACATACTTTGAGGTCATATACATATAAATTGACCTAAGAGTTGCTAAGGACGATTAGACATCGTGAAAAAACTTTTTCGTATATTATATCAGTGCACCAGAAGCTAGTAGGGTAGCAAATTTTCTCAGAATAGGGAAACATTTCCAATAATCGTACTACCCAATATACAGAGTTCAATAAAGTTAGAATAAAAGTGAGAAGCCTCACATGTTTTGTATGGCAACTCTCAGGTCATATTGAGATTGCTACACAAGCCTTTATATATTACATGTTATTGTGGGCTTAGAATAAAAAGTGAATGCGAAATAAAATCATTGATTTTCTTTTCTCCTATCAGATATTATTTTTATCTTGAAGACTAGCGGCAAAATTACTTGATGTTTTTCCAAATCTGTGCGGAGCTTCTTACTAGCTATTGCAATGTTGGGAAACTTAATGTAAGCCCACTTTTGGCTAGCCTTTGCCTTGCACACTAATGACAGCTATTATTTACAAACAGTTATTTTCCAGAACAGTTTTACAAGGGCATTTCGTCTGCCGTACCGCAAATTTGTTTTAAATGAGCAATGGGTCGGCATTTTGTTCAGAACTAATCACTAGCAGATCTATTCACAAACATGTCTGATCACCATAATCTTGACAAGCTACAATGTTGCCAGTTTATTAATGATTATGTTACAGTATCTATAAGGCCCTCACACACAGAACATGGTTTGGCAGGATTTGTCGTGGGTGGCCACTGTTCATTCTCAGTCAGGGATCCTATTTCTAACCATTCGAATTCACGCGAATCGTGTACAATTGATATGTCATAAATGACATCACTATTAGGTTTATTAAAAAAATAGTCTCAATGTCACGTAACGAATATTATATGATATCCATCCTTCGTACGAATCATATGTTTGTGAATGCATAATTTAGGAACGATGTCAGGAATGTAGGTCCACATTTATAAAATTAACATTAATAGTGTGTGGAGGCCTTAAGTTTGTCAAAAATTCGTAACGTGTGTGGAGGGCCTTATTGTTCTACGTTTCTTCGTGCTTCACTGACAACATCTTCAGGGTTGGATTTGGTTGGTCGCTTCGACGACTGCGCCATCTGTAAAGTCACTAAGAAAAACTTGCGCATTCACTCGGCCTTTTCACCGTAATGTTTTTTTTGGCACATTTTCACCACTTTTAGAGAGTTTTAGCCTTTTCTAATAGGTCGTTGATGAATTTCTGTAACAGAGACATGAGGATATTAGAACGCTAAACTTCGACCACGTACTTACTAAATATGTAAAGATAAAGACTAATATTTGATTTGAGAAATTTGAAAATGCTACTTAAACTGCTGGTTTACCATCTAGACGCTTCATTAAATATCGAAAAATAAGAAAATATACTTCAGAGGTGAAGAACTCAAAGAGTCAAGGTAACTGCTTTTTACTAGCGTTCCGAATTTTAGATTGAAAAGTAGACAAGTACTTACATTTACATCGCTTTTAGAGCCTTTGGCATTTATAAGAAGACCCTGCAAATAAAAAAATAGAGTATTTACTTGTTTTTTCATGATTAATAGTTTTTTTTTTTTTTTTTTTTTTTTGGCTTTAGGACTAAGCCATGCAGCCAGAAACTAGGTTGTATATAGAATATATCTAAGTATGTACAAACACACGACGTCACAACATCCATGGCGAAGGCGAGATTCGAACTCGCGACCCGGCCGGCCGGCTGATCAGTAGCACGACACTCTGACCCACGCGGCCAACCGCGGTCCCATGATTAATAGTATTGATACGTTAATATAAGTACACTGCATAGATCGGTGAAGAAGTATGCCATTATTGGCCGACAATAATGACCTACTGTGTATAAATTTAAATTTTTTCACTAATATTTGTATCATTATCATATTTAGGATCGTCTTGCCCGTCGTTCTTACAATTATTGTAGGATGCCTTTATGTCCTCCTTGATTTTCATAGTTTTCTACCGTTCCGTGTAAGAGCTCTATTTTAAGGTTTATGTTACAAATATCTATTTGCATCAAATTGTTCATGCTTTTGATTTATATCAGTTTGAAATTTCCTACTATTCAAAAAGAAAACATAGCCTCACAATAGGAGAGCGCTGACGCTGACACACAACTGTAGAAATCTAGAAATACCCCAGCTTTTCTAAAGGAAATAAAGACTATGAAAATCAAGGAGGCCATAAAGGCGTCCATTGACATTTTGAATTATAGCATATCTAATTTTCTGATCATCCGGTAACACTGTCCGAATACATAACACTCATCAAAGAAGGGTGCGAAGACGCTGCTGCATGCTAGAGTCTGGCAGAAATACGAGGGATGTCTTTTAAGTTTTGCATATGGAGATAAAACAACACGGCAGGTAGTTTTAAATGACTCTACTGTTTTTCGAAGTATTCTTCACGAAGATTAATACATATCTGATGCGCTCGAACCAATTTTCGAAGCACTTATTCCACTCGTTTGCTGGCAGATCCAAAACGGCATTTTTGAATGCGTCAACTGCTTCTTCTGGTGACTGGAACCTTTTTCCACGCAGTCTGTTGTTAATTTTCGGGAAAGTAAAGAAATCGTTATGACTTAGATCGGGACTATATGGAGGATGGTCCAATAATTCCGTTTTCTTCCGTTAAATACTGCCTTGTTTTTTGGGCTGTGTGCGAGCTTGCATTGTCTTGGTGGAGGATAATTCTTCTTTCGGGGTTGATTTTTCGAAGCTCGGTGATGACTTTTGGCAAACAAATGGTGCTATACCAATCCGCAGTAACAGTTCTTTGCTCATTAAGAGGAATTGTTGCAATATGACCCGCTTTTGACACAAATGTCGCTACCATCTTTTGACTTTTCTTCACCAAGTCATCGTTGGTTGTCAGAGCGGTCCGTGGGACCTTAGCTCTTGAGTCACAGTGTCAGTTTGTAAGTCTGTCAGGTCTGGTAACCCAGAAACCAGACAATTTTAAGGAACTTTTCTTCACCTTGGAACACTCAAACAGCCGACTGTCGTTTATTTTCTGGTTCATAATAGTAAATCCACGACTCATCAACATTAACAATGCTGTACAGATTTTTTGAGTTTCCGGAATTGGAACGGTCAAGCGTTTTTTGACACTAATTAACCCTGGCTGCTTTCTGCTCTTCAGTCAACAGGTGGGGTATCCAACGAGAAACTAATTTTCTTACTCCTAATTCTTCATGTAAAATTTTTTGAATTGAGGTCTTTGAGATCTTCAAGGACGCCTCAATCTCGCGATATGTCACATGTCTATCTTCAATGATGAGTTTGCGCACAACATCGACGTTTTCCTGGGTGACTGAGGTTTTTGGTGCACCCACCCTGGAATCGTCGCTAAGACTCACCCGTCCACGTTTGAATTCTCACAGATAGTAACTCAGCAAGGCATTCTTGTTGCGATAATTGTCTCTGAAAGTTGTAATAAATTATGGCGCGAAAATGTTCTCGGTTGAGTTCCATTTTTCTAATGACTTGGTGACACTTAAAAATTCACTGCACGTATTGTTGTGAAACTTTGAATTTAAGTTTACCAAAGAGAGAGGTTAAGATTCAGTGCTGACGTTTGATCCGCGCGGCCTACTATGTTTCTATATGCAAAACTTAAGACATTCCTCGTAGAAGATGTTAACGAACGTCGACTTTATTTCCCAGTAATTTTCAAATACTACGATTTATCAAGCAACATGGAAGTTTCAAGTTGTTAAAATAATGGGATAAATAAATGTCTATTTACTTATGGTAAACAATAATCATAAGTTGGATTAAAAAGGATAAGTGGTTTAATAGAAGTGGCAATTCTGTGCCAAAAATGCAAAAGGAGCTCCACAAACTCTACATGTATGCAAACATTAACTATTTACCTAGGGATTTTTCAATATCATTATTTACCTAGGAAGAGAAATGTAACTGTTTGTAGGAATGGTGATTTCTCAATTATAGACTATGACATGTAGAATTTGAGAAATGTAATAAGCTGTCTTACAACGGAATTATGTTCTTGAGGGTATTTAGAAAGGCCCCTCGCCGAGAGATACCTAAAGTTTTGTTGGCTAACTTTTTTATTAAACGTCAAAGTTGGAAAAATCACCGTTACGCGTATATTCAAATAGTTGCTTTCCAGTGGTTTTTGGTTTGAGAGTGATACGCTCCCGAACTGCACCAGAAACAATGCATGAGAATACGACGTGCAGTGGAACGGCATTGTTGCTGAACGCGAATTGCGAATTACTCAGAGTAACTCAAAAGGGCCACTGGAAAACAGCTCTTGTGTACCTACAGAGACACTCTGAAAATAATAAATAGACCTAGACCTACATCCTTTTTAACGTTTAATGTTTAAGATCAACATACATGAAACGTATTCTTCAAGAGAGATCCCAACCATATGCTGTACTTGGAAGTTCACATGTTGCTAAGTAGAATCGCACTAAGAAGCGATAAACAGATTCCATTTTCCTTTTAAAGAAAATTGCTTATTCGTGAACATGACCTCAACCTCGTATGAAAAGATCACCCATCAATCCGCCTAGTAATGATTACTGTAAGATTTCATATTTTCCAAATTTCTCAACAACGGAAGAAGAAATCCACCAACCTGCGACAACAGTCCGAGATGTGGCAACGTGGACACCTAAAGACGGCGGCCGACAAGTGGTTGGCAGCGCTAAGGTATGTACGCTTAATTGAAAAGCAAGAACCATCGAGGATGTTGATAATATTGATGTATAGGTTGTTTCCTTATGTTGGACAGCCTAGTCTCACTAGCTACACAGGCTGCAGTACGTACAGATTAGTCAGCCGGACCTGCTCGCCGGACAGTGAGCTTAGTTAGTGGGTCGAAAACATTTCTGTCATTCAAGCTTTAAAGGCAAATATACGAGGAAATCTATGTTGTGTAAAATATGGCCAATAGATGCATAGAATTCCGAGGTTGCGAGAGTATAAATATGCTAAGATTCAGAAATTTTAACATACCCTCCCCATTCTCTACAACCCCAGAATTTCATCCCTTACAAACATTTTCTCAAAATGAGCAGGATCCTCTGAAACTTCGGAAAATGAAGTTTCATCGATTTTTATTTTTTCCTCTCTGACTCCGCCGCTACTGGACCGATTTTCAAAAACTACAAAGCCTTTTCGTCCTTGGCATTGTAGCAACCTTGTGTGATAATTTCGTCAAAATCGGAGCGGTACCTCTTGTGTTATAGAGAGACATGGTTTTTCGTACATGTCATATATCAATATCTAATTTTCGGAATTTTTCACGACTACAATACCGCCTCGCCCAAAGGCGTAGGAATTAAAAATTGATAAAGAGGTTTGGAGTGACAATTATATGCACATCAAGTAGGTGAATCCACACTTTCAGTAGCTATCTGGGGATTTTATTATTATCCTAGGAGGAGAAATGCAACTTCTCCTTAGAGGAATGCAGTAAGTAAATGCAGTTTCTCAGATTAGTAGTGAAAAAATCTAGTAACTGTAACATTCCTTTGTCTTTCCTTCGACAATTTCTACGCAGCCTGATGCAGCTATAAAAGTGAACAGGAAACTGAAGTCATGTTAAATAGACGATAACGCATAGAGCAGGCAATTAGAGTGATTACATTTACATAGGGTTGCGCTATGCTGGACAAACAGAATGGAGAGAGCTACGTGGGTGTTTTATCATGTAAATTACAGATGTTTGGTTTGGTTTTTATGAGGGTCTGTACAGTACGGCCGAAACTTCGGAAATATCGCTGTGGCGACATGGTACATGGCCATAGAAAGAACATTGGTCGCAAAAATAATCCTACAATGGAGTTCCAATTTCTTGTGTTAGGGTTCCTCAGTATCTAAATATCTATTGCCTATACAGAGTGATTCGGAAAAACGTAGCAATATACCTGGAAACTCGTTAAAATTAATTGGATTTGGGGTCTAAATAAACACAGTTTTCTGTTATAAAGTTGCCCACGTTTCGGAAAAATTTATTTCCTTATTCAGGGCTCTACAATTTTTTTAAGCAATAACATTACATATCCATTAATTAACAATTTAAATAATAAAATCGATGGGAAAGATACTTATTTTTGGTTGAGACATTATACACTCGTACATATAATGAGCTATTTTAACTTATCCGAATTTAATCAATAAGGAAGCAATTTCCAACGGATATACAAAAATTAAAAATAAAACCAAGATAAAATTATTAGATAGACTTTTAACAAACGAAAAAAAGTTCTTTCTGTCTTCGGATATCGGAAAAAATAAACTATAGCGAACTAGCCCCTCTACTTCGAAACTGAGGTGGTAAACATTTTTTTTTCTGATATTCGAACACGGAATAAACTTTTTATTGGTTTTTCAAATAGCTATCTAATGATTTTATCTTTGTTTTATATTTGATTTTTGTGTGTATATGTTGGGAATTGCTATCTTGTTAATGAAATTCGGAGATAAGTTTAAATAGCTCATTTTATAAATTGCGGAAGATAAGTCCTGAAGAAGGAAATAAATTTTTCCGAAACGCCAACAACTTTATAACAGGAAAATGTGTTTCTTTGGAGCCCAAATCCAATTATTTACAAGTTTATATAGAAAGGGTCATTAAAAAAATAATTTTCTATACTAATATTTCTAGAGTAGAAAATATATCGAAAAATAAAAAACAAAACTTCCAATAAGCATAGGCTCTAAAATGTTCAATTACTAAGATGCAGGGTAAATTTTTATGCCGTTAATGAGGACAAAACATGGGTGAGATAGGATTAATTTCCCAATACACTACATTCAGTTTTCAATGTCAAACTTATTCTCAAAGTAGAAAGGGTTTTCATACGAATTTTACTTCAACTTTTTTTCTCCAAAAGTAGTAATCTGAAAAAAAACTCAAGTGATGCGATACGTGTAAAAACGATTTTTTTTTTCTGCAGGGGTCAACATTTCCCAATTTTTACGCCAGTGGTGTAGGCGCGAAACTTTTTGTACTGCATGTACAAAATCTTACGTCAATAATCTCAATAAACTCCGAAGATAGTTTTTCATTCCGACCTTCTAATAACTTCAACACCCTGTATCTTGGTAACGAGACCCATGTTTATATAAACTGTACGTTATTTTTCGCTCTATATACAACAGACATCCATATTTCATCATAACTTATTTATTTTTGAGATACTAACAAGGAGCATATGAATAAAGTAAAAGATTTCACTAGATAAATTCGATGAAATTTTGTAAAAAAGCTGCAGAGGGACCTCACTTTATGTTTTTATCGTGTCGATGTGCTTCTATCTTTGGGCCATGAAACTTCCTCTCGTTTGTCTATTAAGAAAAGGGACTGACGATACACCATTTGGCAAGCTAGTTAGTTATCTATGATACTCAATTCAGAGTTGTGTTTTTTACGATTTGTCTTCAAATTATAATGTTCTTTACACCCATGCAGCCGTGCAGGCAGAAGTCTAAATGCCGGGATGTCCATGGTGGAGTTGGCAGCAAAGATATTGGCAAGCACTTATCCCTTAGCCTTTGAGTCGGTTACAATAGTTGTGAAGTTTTAGAACTAGTATTCAACATTTTATGTTTACCTGTAAATGTCTCCGCCTCTGTTCTTCACTGTCCATATCAAGAAGTTCGTCCATATCTACTTCTACCTCTTCACTGGTTACGCCTACTTTTTCCTGAAACAAAGAATTACACTAATTATAAACGCACATGGCAATTCAAATTGTAAAGTAGGAATCATATATAGCGAGTCATCAAGTCGAGTAAAAATTTTTCTTCTACTGAAGACCTTCAATGATATTTATTTGTACAACCGATGAACCACATTTTGTATTTTAATGCAAATAATCATGAACGGTGGAAAAGGCATGAAAATGTATCCCAAAATCTAGTTTTGATGGCAAGATACTTTTTATCGGCACCTGCAACATCAGCGTCCATTGAATGAGAATTTTCTAGGGCTGCAGTGACGGAGCCCCGCAACAGATTAAGCGATAAGCCCGTTAGGGCCCTCATGTCTCTTAACCCGTGGTTATCGAATGAGAAGCTAATTCAGAATTTTTTAATTCACTGGAAGGGGTAATCGGGTAAAGATTGGAAATTTTGGATGTTATATGACATGTAGATCACAAAAAAACTTGTCACTTATTTCTGCTGGACTGTCTGCCTGTCGGTCTGTCCGTTAATCTTATAACCGCCTATACCTTGAGAAGTGCCGCTCTGATATCGATGAAACTTTTACACAATGTTGCTACTACTATGCCAGAGAAAAAGGCGTAAAACGAAATATAAAATTCGCTCAAACTTCGTAAAATCCTGATCATTATTGGAAAAAACTTGGGGGTGGGGCGTTGTAAGGGGATGAAGAGGGTTTATCTCAATTTTTTGATGCTTGTACATTTATATGCTCCCAACATTAGCAATTCTACGCATCTATTAGACATATTTCACACATCATATATTTCTCTGTTACGGAATCACGCGTAAGTCTTTCCCGCAACAGCATAGTGTTTTCTATGTTCTGGGCGCACTATCACGGTGCAACCTCTGCCCAAATTAGGTATCAGAGAGAGGCGACGTTTCCAGAAGCACAACTGGTAGGGCAGGAACTAATTGTACGCACCTGTTTGACTGACTTTTTTCTCTGTGAGTCTAGTTTGTGCTGAAAGTATTCATCTATATACTGATAAGAGTGTTGCGAGGGAAGCGCACAGTATCATTCTTGTATTTGTTATACGATGAACAAAATATTTTGTTTAATATCATTTTCTCTGTAACTTGTCACAAAGTATATCAGTTGTGTATTTATAGTCTATTTGTATTTATATTACAAAAATTATGGATTAATAATATCAAGACTACTTGACGAAAACACTACATGACTTGACTTACATTGCTAATATTTAATACTTGACATGAGCTTGATTTGATTTCAAGTCAAGTCGCTCGAAAATCAAGTCAAGCAGTGAAACCCTACATAATTGATGTCAAGTTGTTTTATTTTGTTTTCATAGCTGAATTATGCGAAATTTGCGAGTGTGCCCATCCCATGAAGATATGAAAGAATTTCTGAAAGAGTTTTGTCGGGTTACCAACCCTCGCGTCTTGAAATCTGCACTTGGAATATAAATAATAACTTCAAACTGGATTGACATTTGTAAGTGATTTAATTTTAAGTAGGTATGCTTATGATGGCGCTGACTCATAAGGTTCCATTTTGGTTATTCCAGAAAACTTTGAATTCTTATTTCGATTAAAAAAACGTATATAATAAACTATGAGACATTCAAATAATTGGCTGCATTGGCAGTGTTGATTATTACTATCCATTTAACGATAAAAGAGATTTTTCCAGAACTGGCTATAAAGACCAACAAATAGATAATATTCAGATTTACCATCTAGTCACTTAACCTTTTGACCTACTTGTTAAGATGACTTGTTTTGATGTGCATTGTTTTATGCAACATCAGTTTTTTAAAGTATTAGAGATTACGAGAATCGATGGTGAAAACAAGTGGTTAAGAAATTTACTGATCAGTAGTGGATCCGGGAGGACTACATAAGGACTTAGTCAGTATCTGTCCGATGTATTTTTTTCACGTCGTATTCATGTACGTATCTAACGATGAAATCATTCATTTGTATCTGAATAAATAAAATAGAAAATAAATTTTTTCAAACATTTTTTTCCTCTTGGAAATATTCTGATTTATACTTTCTTAACTTTCAAACGACCCAATTCGATGGGTTTGCTTTAATTTATAACAAAGTCCCCAAGGCCTCCTTCTGGCTTCATCATATGATCATCTCCATGCCATAATAACATTGCATTATCATATTAGACGTCCGCCATTTTGGATTGAGGATGATCTCGATTTATTTATTGTGCTTCGCTCATCAAACCTTTTCGCTCGATACTCATATGGGTTACTGTGGTAATAATAAGTCAATATTTAGCGGTTGCCGCCATATTGGATTTATAATGACGCCATTTTACTTGTTAAGCTTTTCTCATCAAGCTCTGTCATTTGAGTATTTATTTAGCGGTTGCAGCCAATTTCGATTTAGGATGACGATATTTTGCTTATTGTGTTTTTCTCATCAAGAGATTGTTTTCGGTATCCATGTCATAGTGCTATGGAAATGATAAATCGCCATTTTGCGGCGGCCGCCATATTGGTTTAAGAATGACATCACTTTGCCTATTGTAGTTATTCCTTTCATTTCATATCTATATCATAGGGGTTAATTAGGAAATGATAAATCGTCATTTTATAGCATTCGCCATATTGGATTCAAATTGACGAAATTCAATTCAATTTGTATTGTCACGCGAACCAAACGTGTATAAAATTTCAGTTCAATTGATTAAGGTTATCTGGATCAGAATTTAGTTCCAAATTTTTCCCCACATACCATATACTAACATACTAACAAACAAGTCAAGTGTATAAATGAGGGCTGACGAATTTAAGAATCGGTCAAGAAGTTTATGTGTTTGAAGACTGGAGAGCTTGATCCATGGGTTGATACGTCTCACTAATTGACTGGAGTCAGATTGGCGGTTTATAATTCTCTAGAAAAATGTGCTTTATGGGTATGCAAATCAATAAATGTTATCAGCAATCGAATCAATTGCCGAAATTTCCTTAGCTTTATTTACTACTTACGTTTCACGGAGACCTTGATGGAGTTTTCGGAAATATTTAATAATACATTATCTATTGGTAAAAGAAATCGATTAGATTCAACCTTGAGAAATATTGAGTAAGCCCACATTCAAGATTATCTGAAAAACTTGAGGATATCATGATTCATTTTCATTTTATCCGATTGAGAAGACTGGAAATGAGAACAGTAACTATTTTTTAGAACTGCCGATTTTGTAATCAATTTTGTAGAATTATTTGAATATTAAAGGAATAACTACGTCATAGCATTTTCTCTATAAATTCTATATAAGCCTTGGATGGCAATTGTGTAGAGTATTGAATTCTCCTTTTAGCTGAGGATATATCTATTTCAAAACCTTTACCTATATCCCACCTGAGTCTAATATATGTTCGATTTTGGGCTATTTATAAAACAATTCCTATTCATATAATGTGTATAAAGTATTCATCCTAACTCTATATAAATCACAATAAAATAGCACAAATAGCATATCAAGATGAGTTAGCTAAGGCAGCAGGATGCCAATTTGGAACATTTTTGGATCGTTTATAACTCAACAACTGATCAAAACATTATGTGTAGTATGTTACACGAATATTCTTCCTTTTCAAACGTCTATCAGAATATGCACTCAACTAAGGGTAATTCCGTTTAAAAAATTGACAGACTTTGGACGGTTTTGCAATTGAAATGGTCCATATTTTATTATATACTTGGTTGTAGAGCTATAAGCGACTCAATGTACAAAAATATTTAATTTTGACAGGCTCTCAGGCCCTTGTTTTGACAGATAATGATTTAACAGCTTAAAATACAGTATTAATACATCAATTTCATTTTTTCTACTTTAAGCTTGCTAATTTTGGCCTGTCTAAAAAAAGTGATAGAGGAAGACTTTTTGAAAAGCAGTGGATGTAACGTGGTGCCCTTGGAGTGTGAAATAACTGTTCAAAATCGATTTCAGCATCGAATTATTAAATATTAGGAGGTGAAACGCGAAACAGAAACGTATCGCAAGTTAAACACGGAATGCTTGTTTTTAAATCAAAACCACCTTTGCGTGCAAACTTCGTATCGTGGAACGATCGTGGGCAATTTTGCGTTCTAGGTTGAGTTGATATACTATATATTTGTGTACTTGTTTAGGGCAATCGATAATTTAGACAATAATGAGAATATTAGACAGGAACTTTAATTCACCTTTATCGAGATTCTTGAAATTAAAACATGTTAACTAATATAAATAAGAGTATATCAGAGAGACCGAAAAAATGCTTTTTTGACGATTATGATAGGAAAATATACCAGTAGGACCCTAACTATTACTTGGCTCCGGGGTCCTCTAATCGGACCTTCATTTTTGGGTAGTGAAGTCGGTGATTTTTCACATTTCAATATTTTTTAGTTTGGTTTTTACTAGGTAGATATACCATCAGTCAGCAATTAGTGAAAAACGTAAAGGCAAAAGCTGATTCAATTGAAGAAGTTGACAATCCCGCTGTGTATACAGGGTGTCCAAGATAAGGATCCTATGCATGGGAATCTCAATACTTGTGGGAGATACGGCTTAGGTTAAATTAGAAAAAGTTGCGTTCTTTGGAGCGTATTCACATGCCGTTGAGAAACTTGTAAAAACTTCATATCTCTTACTGAGATGTTAGAGAAAAACTAAAAATTGCCCGTCATTTTTATTTTTTTCTGACTTTATTTTAAAAAATAACAAAAAAACTAATGAAACTTTTCCATTGGTGCTTTTCAGGTACAACATGATAGTGTATTTAAATTTTGTGGCGGACGGTTGGTTTTTGAGAAACCATTAACTTTATTTTTTCATATATCACGTGTTACATTTATTTTCTTTTATTTTTTTTAAGTAGTCGTTGCAAACAAATGCTTGACTTGACGTAAATACCTGTCACCGACTATTGTTATTATTGTGTATTGTTAATATTGCCTTATTATAGTCAAAGATGCTAGACGGTCATTTCGTTAAGAATTG